CTTCATATTGGGATCATTTGGAAGATAAAATATACGTCGGGGAACGTGTGAAATAGGGATTCTTTAACCTTCTTCATAATAAATTACTAGGTGGCTTAGCTACGCGGGCCTATTTGAGCTACGAAATTTTATGTAGGCATGACATTGTTAATGGAAATCCTCTTGTCGAGCTTGCACAGCAGCAATCGTTCCTTAATGTTTGTCCTCCGCCATGACGTTCCTGCTTCTTCGGCCCTTTCCTCCCAGCAGGGCCAAATACGAAACCCCTGTCGGTTTATTGACGATTTCTCAACGCACACTTGACTGTGGTCCCGCCCCTCCTCAAGGCTTAGTTTCATTGTCAGCGATCACAACCTATCGGGTGCGTAGCGTTTCTCCTCCTGGGGTCAGGTCACCTAAAATTGAGACGCCGTTCATTCGCTCGGAGCAAGCTTAGGACTAAGCCTAGGCCCAATCATAGGCTTAGGCATAAGCCAATGTGTAAGCATAAGCCTTAACCTAAGTCTAAACCCAAACTTAACCTTAAGCTTCAATGATCGCGCAACTGTGGTGACCTGACCCCAGGAGGAGAAACGCACGTCTCCCCAACCTTCTAGCCCATGGGCCCTATCCTATCCATCCCCAGACTAGGGAACAAATAAACCCGTTGAATTCTTTGTCTTTTCTACAAAAGTCGCCCGAAAGTGCATACCTACATGTGCAGAGCAAGGATGTGCAGAAGTAAAGTAGTAGTAATAGTAAAGTGGGAACTGTGTCATTGAAAACGAATAATTTTAAAGGACTCCTCTGTACCCCTAGCCTGCGGGAAGGATAGGATACGGCTTCCATAACAACACAATGACCCTATCCTCTCCCACCACTCTCCTACGTACTGCACAACTCCACCCAATATTGCGAAATCGCGAATTTTTTATGTAAATTCCTGTCTTAAACTGTCCTTTTTTCAAATCACATTATGTGGTGACTTCAGTCAAAATGGTGGCACACTTGTAATTGTGGAGCGATATGAGTCAACCGGATTCTGGTTCAACAGGCAAAAATGGGCGTTGTCGAAGATGATGCAGAACCAGTTGTGCAAACAGAGGCATACCTTAAACGTTGAATGGTTCGAACCAACCTGTACCACAACAATCGACTAGATTGAACAAAGGGGATATACGAATAATGCCCAGGATTCGGGAAATCCTTCCCGTTCGTCACCTTGCCAAGTACACTTTTGCTGGGCACGTGATGGGAAACACCACGGACGCTGGAACGTGGCGATTGTTGTGCTCTGAGATTTTCACCACAAACACAACACGTGATAGGCCACCTTCATTTTGAGGTAGTTATTTATTGGGGAACTATGCTATCGCACTGAATAACATGGACTAAATGAGCCAAAGCAGGACGAATCGCCACTGAAGGACGGGTCACTCAAGCAGCTTACGTACATGAAGAATCAACGAATATGTTCCTCATTTACAATCTGCTTGAAAAGTAATTCAATAGAATCTTAACCATGAAACACACAGTGGGCATCTGAAGAAGTCTTCTTGACAGCAAAGCGGAGGTTTTCAAGGACAGGTGAAATCGTCTGACATTGGCCAATCTACCTCTGAGATGCGCCGTGCACTCACCCTCCATTCAAAGTCGTGCGAATGCGTTTCTTTAGTGTGTCATGACTTAAAGGACGTATTCATTATGCAAAGGTCAGTACTCTAAACCGCCTTATCAGGCCGGTTGTGACAATGAAGCAAATGTCCGTAAAGGTTGGTGAGGCTAGACCAGGGCGAACTGTCACGTTTGCACTTCTTTTCAAGAATTCGATCCTCCTCCCCCACCTTAGGGGGGTTTCGATGCGATGCGAACCCCCACCAGGGTCAACCCTATCGTTGTTACTTTTTGAAAATTTTTTACGACCCCCCTCCCCCAAGGTGGATTTGGTACGACCCCCTTCCGACCCTCGACCACCATCATTCCTCTCTATAGTATTTAATTCTGATACCACTCAACCCACCAAACTCCGCCCACTTTTCCTCCAAGAATGCCGTCGAGCGAGGGGTAAGGAAGGGCTACAGATTTTTTTTCCTGCGCCCCTCAACTCACCCAACCTACCTACCCATAAAAACTTCAGTTTCACCTCAAACTCGCATGTGATTTCAAGCGACTGAAACGGGTGCGACCCCCTCTCCTACAAACTCAAGCGAGTACGACCCCCAGTTGTTACTGGTAACAAACGTAGAGACCGGTCATTGTGGTGGTTACCTTTTACCACATCAGTTGTTCTTGGAAGGCTCTTCATCCTCGGCCTCTCCCCTTCCCCGTCGACACAGCCCTCCCCTAACGCTTCAAAAAAAATCCCGTCAAAACATAACCCCTCCAAGTACTCCGTCAACCTTAGTTCCACAATAACCTTACAAGCTCAAGAGAATGCGACCTCCCCCCCTCGTTCGGAAACACAGAATACGACGCGTGGTGTTGGCCTTTGTACGATAACGCGAACGGATATTGACGCTGGGCGAGACTACGTCTGGAATTTCGATCTTGGGTCATGCTTCTAGGATTGGCGCCTCCTTACCTTACCTTACCTTACTAAGGTTTCTCTCTCGCTCGCTTAAATCTGGAGTTTTCCAAATGCTAGAATTTAAAGGATGTCAAGACTAGATTCCCAACGGTATGCTATTCATCTGAATAGCATAATTTTTTAAGAATTGAGGAGGAATTCTGAGGAAGGTTACAAGAAAAGAGAAGGAAGCTTAAGTCACCACTGCGAGTAGCCCTGGATTTTCTTGAAGAAATCCGATTACAATACACAATTTCTTCGAACAACCAACCACTAGGACATCCAGCTGTGAGCTGGAGAAATTGCCAAGAACCGGACGACATTACCGGTCAGGTGAGAGGAAGAGAGACAGACAGCGAGAGACAGGGAGGTCCCATCCACGTGGGTGGGGACGCAGAGGAGGCCTGTTCGTCCGGCAAATCCAATAGAGCCGTCTGTCCCTCGTCGTCGTCGTTGTCGTTGCGGTCGTTTTCGTTTATTATTGCCGTGTCTGATTTTGGCGTCATTGCTTGATTCTTTGTCCATCGTGGTTCATGGGATGAATTCCTGAAGGGCTAAGTAAGGCATGTCGTGGCTTTCGCAAGTGCTCGAACGGAACAGCTCCGATCCTCGAGTCCGACTTGATCTCGGTCGGGAACTGCTTGATCGCCTGGCCGTCAGCCGTCTGCCTTCTGATTCCTCCCGAAAAAAAAAAAAGGGTTGTTTCTCTTAAACGAGTATCTGTGATTGCTGTTCCAATGGCTGGCTTGTAGCAATTATAAGGTTCGTTCACATTTTGGAAGCACTTCTTTCTTGAAAGAAACTATTCCTTTGGTCCTCATTTTCTTTTGAAAGTTGTTTGTTCGAAGCTTGCGTGCGACTTCTTCGAGTTTTTTTCAACGAGCTCAGCTCTGCCAAAAAAAAATTTAAGCGAGCTGAAGCCTATTTTTCGATTTTTTTTTCTTTTTTTTTTCTGTCAAATGTTCCATTATGCTTTCTTTTCGATGCCTTCAAGGTTTTTTATGTATTTGTTGAAAAGTAAAGCCGTTCTTCTCCTACGCCTTATAAGTAGAATGTTCTCATTTTCTCACCAGCGCTCAGTGACTAATTTCCTTTCCTCTGAGTCTCCTAGCTGGCGCGAGCTAAGGAAGGAGTATGTGGGGGTAATGAACTTTTGTTGACAACCATGACCATATCGATCTTCTTTTTGTGCACGATGGCGACCACATAAAACTGGATGTGTAATTGCACACCATTTTAATGCTAGTATAAAAAAAAATCTTGAAAAATGTCAGAAGAACGCGTTTTGGAGGCCAAATTCTTATTTGGAACTTTGCACCCGAAGCTCTTCGGTTAGCCTTCACTCTTCTGCGGGCGCGCTTCAGACAGACATTTGCCTGAGCCTTTAACAACTCCTGCGTTACAGCAAACCTACTCAGGTCGCTATAGAACTATTACAAGTACTTATAGCTAAAATGTGGTACCTTAATCTCCAGCTCTTCCTCAATTCCTTTGAAAATTCGCTGATATTAGGAAGGAGTTCTTCAGCTTCACGCCGACTTGAATCGTACCGCATTCCCCCTCCCCCCAAATGGGAAGCAGAAGCCGGTTTTTATGAAAAACGCATTCCGTGCTACATTCTGCGTCATTCGCCATAAGAGTTTGCGGAGCTGCACCTGTTCGGGTTGCCGACTCATCGATAGTATAGCTTTCATTTTGAACAGAGGAATTTGCAGAGCAGTTGAACAACCACTACGCCGTGCACTTGACTTCCCTTTGAATCTCGGAATGATTGGATGCCTGTTGTGCAGATAGAAGATGTATGGCAGAAAGCTCAGCATTGACCATTGTGTTGGGATGCACCACGTGTTCGCAGTATTCTTTCCAGAAAGTATTTGCAACAGGCGCATTTGAATCATCCCATTTAAGCTTAG